CCACTTGCCTCTGCACAATTCCCACTACCCCAAGTACAGTATTAAGAAATATCACTCAAACCCCACTATCCCCACTAGGTAAAAAGATATATAAAGGGTACCTTTTCCTCTTCTCTGCCAATTCTAAATTTCTACACTTCAATCCAAACATAATGATCTTTTAGTTATAAAGTGTGATATTCCCCCTTTAGGGTAATTTCTATAGTCAAGGTTGTCACTATGTGTTATTAATAAAAGTTAATTTATATACTGTTATTATCTTAAACCATTTGTCTACTGCTGTGTAGTAAAGTGAACTATTACACCTTCACCCCATATATATTTGCAATAGTTAATTACTGTACTAGGTAACCTTGTTACTTGGTTGTATTGTATCAAGAAGGCTGCAACTCTGTAACAATATAAAAAATTTTTAAAACCAGATGTCAAATTATAGTTTGATTAAGTAAAAAGATAAAATATGATAGTTTATATTAAATTCTTAGAGAAAATATTTATAATAATATTGATATGAAATTTAAAGATATTATAAATTTGTAAATCTCTTTTTATATAGATATATATTCATATAAATATGTATTTAACAAAAGTGTTAATAAAGTTAAAATAAAAAACTCTTTTTGCAAATCTATTATACAAAAAAATTAACTAAAAAATCATTCATATAAAAATGCTTATAACTATTTATTTTACTAAAACAATCTGTTCTGATGTCTTAAGTAAACTTGTTCAGCTCAAAATTTAGCTATATTTTGCAAATATCATATTTTTAGTTTTTAAATTCATTGAGAAAACTGTATTAATGGCCTTTGGTTTCAGTTTTAACAATTAATTTTTTTTTATAGTTTCTACTGTAATAACCTATTTTATACTCTTAATTAAAGTTATAATACATATTTGCTAGTCAAAACAAGCTCTAAATAAAGAATTTTGACTCAATATTGGCTGAATTACAACAAAATTTCTTTTTTATTCTCTTGTAAACTTTTTTTTTTCTATTTTTGTTCCTATCTATTTCCTTTTTCTTTTATATGTTTTTCATATAACTATGCTATCATTTCTTAATTCATACTTTAATAATTTATACAAAAATTTCTGTAACCTATCTATAAATAGAAATTCATTTAACAAAACTTAATTATTTCTATATTTAGTTCTTATTAATAATATACAATAATTTGTATTACAAATCTTATTTGCATATAATACCTGAGTCACATCAGTGACTCCAACTATTCTAGTTATACCCTGTACTATTCCAGTGACATCTCAACCATACAACCCCTGTTTTTAATTATTATTTTTGCAAATTAATTATTTGATTACAATTTTAACTTAAAAAAATTTTCTAAGTTATTAATATAATACCTATTTATTTATCTATATTCTAAAATGCCTATATTAACCAACCAAGAGCTGGATACAGCAGACTTTGACTACTTTTACCAAAACTTTTCTAACATTTTGGAATTGCTCTCTATAAAGAAGAAAGTGGTAACAAGCTTGTTCAATTCCTCTTAAAATCAAACCTACTGCTTATTTAACTAAAAACCTTAGATCTAACAAAATTACTCAATTATTTCAAGCTCTTTTTTCCATTTCTGTAATTACTTGTCTCTGTAGTAAATATCATACTAAATTTATCTTACTTACCAATACTAACCATATTCAAGATACTGAACTTACTATAGTTCATATTAATAATAATTTAAAAAAAAATCTAAACAGATTAACTTAACAACTTATGACCAATCTCTCTTCTTTAACTGACAATATCTCTTTATCTTCTATATTTGATATACACTATTATATCTGTTCTAAATGCTTTCTTCCAATTAGTTGTATCAAAAAACATAAGCATTACTACTCTAATAAAAAATATGTTACAAAGAATAATAAAGTTTAACATCTTGTTTACATAACTGCTTTATCTTAATAAAAAGCTAGCTTATTTCAAACCAAAAAAAATTTCATACAAACTTTTCAAAATATTCTAAATAAATTTTCTTAAACTACTAATCTTCCTATTGCCTTTTTTTACCAAACCTCTCAAACTGCTTTTGACCTTATTAACTCTTTCTTTTCTACAGCTACTAACACTAATTCTGTTCCTAATCAAACTTCAATTATTATTATTCTTAATAATTCTAACTCAAATTCTAACAATTCTAACAATTTTAACCAATTTAACAATACTTTAAATAAATTTTCTTTTCAATTCTATTCTAGTGTTACCAAGCCAAAATCTAAGCTTATATATGACTGAGTTGCAAATTTTTCTATTACTAAAGAAATGCAATCTAATAAAAAATTACAAACTTTATTCTCTCTTCAACTTTTTACTTTTTTTAAAAAATTTCTTTATGACTTTTATTCTGGCAAAAAAATCAAGCCAGCTACTGCTACTTAACCAGCACTTAAAACTTTATTTTATTATATCATCTGTATAATAACTGAGCAATAATCTGAATTCTTAACTGATCTCATCTATAATAGTAACCCCAATATTAACAAAAGTGCTACTATTCTCTTTGATCTTTTTAAATCCATCTTTAAAAATCTTATTCTCAAATTTACAACTATTCTTTTTACCAAACTTAACTACCTTGAAATTTTTGTTTTACTAATTACTGTTCTCCCATATACTGCTCATAATCATTTCCAACTTTGTTTCAAACTTGCATAGCTTCATCTTTTCTTATCTAATAATTATCAATTAATTAACTATTAAAATTTACTAAAAACTTAAAGCTTAGACCTAAAAGATTCAAAATTGAATCTTTTATTCAAACTACTAATCTTTAACAAAAATATTTTACTATTCAATTAAATACTAGATTCAATATTAAACTTTTTTTCAATATTTCTAAAACACTTTTTCTTAAGAGATTCTATATCCTCTTACTTAAAAACTCTTTTGATCATTTTAAATTCTGGTTTGAAACTTTCTTTTTATCTTATGTCAACAATTCTTTTTCAATATTGATAAAGAGAAAGTTTGCACCTCTCTTAAAATCTAATTCCAACAACATTTTATCCTTCAATTATTTAAATACCTTCCTGAATTTTATATATTTTAAATACCTAACTTGCTCTATAAATAATATAAAGAAGCATTTTGAGTTATTAATTTTTACTGTTTTATTTGTAAAAATAAGTCATGTTAATATCTTGATGATAAAAAATTTCATGACAGCACCAAGCTCTTCAATGATATCCTAACAAATTCTGCTTATTATTTCCTTCTTAAAATAATAAAATATAGATTTACCCAACTTTTAATACTATATTATTTTACAAAAACAAAGAACATGTTGTCTTACTTGATCAACTTATCTTTATCAAAGCTTTGAACAAATTAGCTGACCAAGCTAAAAACTTTGTATGTATACAAAATAAAGTTAAAACCAACCCAAATGCTATAATTACTACTTTTATTGTTACCTCTTCTTATATTATCAAATTGCTGCTAAAAATCACAATATACAGTTTCTTTTTAAGAAGGCAATCAATCTTTTACAAAAAACATCATTGATACCAAATTCCTCATCCAAATTATCACCTATTTTGATGTTATCAAAAATCAAAAATCTACTTATCTACAAATTGTTAAATATTTTAATAATACTGCTTACCCAGCAGCTGAAAAATTTTTAGCAAAAAAATTCAACTTTGACTTCCAATTAGTTTTAATCCTTAACTTACTTTTTTTTACAATCTCTTTTTTAAATTCTTTGTATTCTACAATTAACAAAAAAGCAGTCATCATCTTATTAAAAGATACAACCATTGTAGTTAATAAAAAGAATAATATAAATAAGCAGGTGAACAAGCCTATTTATATGAAGGCCAATGTACAGAGCAAACTATGGTATCTTGCACAGCTGTGAAAGCCAAACATATAGTGATTGATTCTGTAGAAGACAATTTTGAAAGATTATTTACAATATCTTTAATCCTCTATGATTTTTATACATGTTTTAACAAATTCTTTCTTCATTACAATTTACCACTTCTCTCCTATAGTCAAATTATTCAAACTTTAATTCAATATATTGATAAATATAACAATAACAAAACAGTATCTAGTATTACATTTTTTGTTAATTTATTTTATAATGAAACTCATATATATCTTCCTAATGATATTTTTTTATCAGATCATATTGTTATTATTCTATATCTTTTTTTTATATTCTATAACCTTTCTCTCAAATCTAATCTCTTTAATTCTACTTCTATTTTATTTGATTTATTTTTCAATAAACATTCTTTAATCTCTAATTGTAATTATTCTCTATTATCATCAAATTCAACTTTACATCATCTTAACCTAACTATTACTACACACAATATTAGAGACTTTAATAAATCTACTAAGAGAAAAGCATGGCAGAATTATTGTCTCAATCATAATATATCTATTGCAGACATTACAGAACCAAAAATCTTTAACAAATCTAATCTTTTTTTTTGTAACAATATCTTCTTTACTTACTACTGGTCTAACTTTTTTATCTTTATAAAAGACACTGCTATTATAATTCACAACTATCTTAAACCTCACATTCATAGTATTCATACTCATTCTGAAGGTACTATAGCACTTAATATTTTCTTTTGAAGTAATATTAAGCTTTGCATTATTTTAATATATCTGTCATTAACTGATACTTCTATTTACAACCAAACCCAAAATAAAGTAATTAACTGGATTTAATAAGCCTCTCAACTTTATATTCATTTTATTATTCTTGGTAACTTTAATATACAGGACAATATATATATGTTATTGTCTATAAAGTGAACAATAACTGATTTATTCCCAGGTTTTAATTATACTTTTATACTTTTCTTTCGATTAAAAGTGACATAATTCATACAATTTAAACTTTATATGAAAAGAATTTGATCTAAAAAAAAAAATGTTCTTCTTAAATCGAAAAAACTTTCATTTTATTTTAACTTATAAATTAATCAAAGAGAATATTATATCAAATATGTCAGAACATGAAAGTATTAACACAATATTCAATGATACTTAAAAAAATCTAAAATTAAAAATACCAATTCTTGTATCCAAAAATGGGTTTGAATTTTACAAGACTATCGTAAGAAAAAGAATATACCATATGAAACCCAAACATTAGTGAATAAAGAACAACTTGAGCATGAACTATTTGAATTTTTTGCTGATTTTAAGCGACAAGATGGAAAACATTATAAAGTCAAATCAATTGTATTAACTTACATCTCTCTTTAACGTTTTTTATTTGAGTTTTTTCACAAATTAAAATTTTTTAAAGTTATTGCTATAGTAATTGTCTAGTATTGTTCAATAGAATTTTAACTGTTTATAATTTAAAAAAAGGAACTGGACCAATTCGAACAATTCTAAATAATTTTACTTCAAAGTATTGACACTTTTAAATAATTGACTAGAACCGAATTGACACTTTTAAATAATTGACTAGAACCAAACAATTTTAAATGCACATAATTTGAATAAAGTATTTGACCTAGTTCTGATAATTGGTATATGTAGTTATAGCCTAAAAAAGTTTTGGCCTAGTTTAGAGAAATTAAAAACTTCAGATCAGCCTGAATCTGAAATCTGGGCAATAAGCATGAAAGAAAAGTATGAAAGTATAAATAAGAACCAGGGAATAACTTGTATTTATATGCATATGTATTATATATACATATAAGCTTTAACAAATTATAGCTAAACAATTGCACTAAATTAGTGAAAATATAGCTATTTTTCTTGTCTAACTAAAGATAAAATCAAAGATAATGATTTTGCAGAAAATTATTGTCTCTTTATAGAATTGGTTTAATAATTAATCATGACTTTAAAATCAAACCTGTAGTTAGCCTAATTATTAGTCTATATTCAAACTAGTAAATTTTATTTTTCTGATTTAGAATACTATATAGTACTAACTACAGTATTTTTGGCTATAATATCTCTTAATAAAGGTCTAAGACAATTTACAAAGTTATAATTTAAAAAATTAAAAAAACCTAAATATTATTCTAGATATTTAATATATATATATTTTTTTTCCTTAAGCAGTTACATTAGTACTTTATTAAGATTTTGAAATTATATTTGCAATTATATAAATATCCTTAACAACTAAGTTTAGCATTATTTGGCCACCCTAATGATATCTAAGTGCAACCTGCTGCATTACTCCAAGCAGAAATAAGCTGCTCATCTAACTACTTAAAGTCTATAATAAAAAAGTTTTTTTTCTTTCATGACAAGCTCTAAAATTGTTTTCTGTGCTTTTTTTCTGATTTGTTTTTCTTTTTCTTTTACTTTTTTTTTTCTTTCTTCTATTATTTGCTGATTTGGATTTTTTTTTTTTACTTGGTACTTTTTTTTTTTTTCTTTTTCTTCTTTTAATCCTATCTGTTATTCTTTTATTTTTCTCTCATTAATTGTTTTTCTCATATCAGATTTTTCATACTTGTTCATAAAATATGTTCTAGGCCATTCTTGCTATTACATTTATAAACTGCTACCTTAATTTTGTACTTAGAAGCTACTTTAATCAGTCTTATGTTTCTTTTGAAACAAGATTTTTAATTAGTGCCTCTCTTATTTTAATTTTTTCTGCTTCTGTTTTTTCAAACAGTGCTATATATAATATGTATAAGAAGACTCAAACTTTTTTTTCTTTCTTTAACCCCTTCTAGGCTGTTGTAATAGTCACTTTTTGGATTTTTTTTCAAAGATTCCTTTGCCCCTTACATGCTGCCAAGTATGTCTGTGTTTTTTTTGTTTTATTTTGACATACTTGGCATTTCATTGTTGTATATATTTCAGGTTTTTTTTTGTTAAGTTCTTTTAGAGTTAGAAGTTTATCTATTATATACTTTATAAATATGTTTCTTCTGGCACTACTTCTTCTTGTTGTGCAATATACTCTTTTAAATATCTTTAGTCTTTTTCAAAAATATGTCTATTCATAAATCATAACTTCTGTTTCTGTTTCTAATTTTCTAATTGCTTTTGTTTTTTTCTATTTTGCTTCTAATCTTGTATTTGTTATCAATTTGCATAGCAGTTTTGCTAGTATGTCAGTATATTTGTTTTTTCACTCTAAGCAATACTCTATCTCTTTGTAACTAACTTTTTTAGCTTATATTATCTTTTTATTTGTTACACCTTTTTTTGCTAAACTATCAGTTTTATTATTCTATCTATCTTTACTGTAACTCTTAACTTTAACAAATTCTATCTAAATGTTCTTTGTTATAATAAGCTCTCTAATTATTATTATTCACATTGCATTCTTCTTTTTAAGAATCTTATTTCTGCATACTTGTTCTAAACCTCAACTAATATTTCTTATCGCTACATTAATATTGGTATATACTTCTACTTGCTTTTCTCTTGATATTGTTAAAATTGTTGTTTATATTGCTACTAACTCAGCTATTGATGATGTTTACTATCCTTCTAAACCTAATGCTATCTCTTCTTCTAGTCATTCTTGTGTTTCATCTGTTTGCACTCACCCTATACCTATACTATTTTTGCTTCTTGTGTCTTCTTTAGTTTTCAAGTTTGCTGCTTCATCTGTGTATATTATATACTTGTTCTTGTTTCTTGTTATATGTTTTCTTAAAACTCTTACTATTTCTTAACTAATGCTACTTTTAACTTTTGTTATCTAATTATCTCTACTTCTGGCTCTTCTATTATTCTTAGTCCTTCGAATTTCTGTTTTCCTATTACTGGTTTGTTTGTCTTTATTATTTCTGTTAATTAATTTATTGCTATCTTGATCTTGTTGCTGCTTTTTTTTATTAATGCATCTGGAATTATATTAATTCTGTTATTTATTCTTATTCACTGTTGGCAGCTATTTTCTTGGTATTCTTTTTTTTTTATACACCCCTTATATTTGTTAATAGTATAATGAAAAGTCCTTTTTATTGACTAATGGGATACAATTATAACATAGATTATTACATAAATATTTATATTAATTTTAGAGTACCCTTTATATAAAAATGCAATTGCTCATATGACAAGTAGCTAAGCATGTTATCTATGATTAAATAAATTTCAGAATATGTTAGTCTTTCATTTTATTAGCAGTTTGCAGATTTAATTACATATAATTATATTCTTAGAAGACTTTTACTAATGCTGACTTTTTGCTAATAGACTAATAGTATATAGCTAAGTAGGCTTATAAATTTTTTTAAAAAACTTTATTTCAACAACTAATTTGTTTTTTATATTTTATTGATATAAGTAAAGATTGTATATATATAAGAATCATTTGGATAACTCAGGTAATATCTGTTAATTGGGTTATAGTTATTATTAATTGGGTAATTTAGATTAAATTAATGCAAGTGCTATTCTAAAATGTTATAAAAAAAAACTCAATCAACACAAATTACAAGTAAAATACTGTTAACCTGTAGTTTTTTCTTTAACTACAGTGATAACAGAAGCTGTTCAACTATAGTATGATGACTATAACTTGACAGATTCTATGCAAAGTCTATATAAGACTTAACAAAATACAAAGTAATTTGGGATTTTAAGATAGAAGCAATAATAAATAGTATAGTCATTCTTCCATATAATCACACAGTTGGACACATAGTAATTTTTTTAAAAAATGTGCTTATAAAGGAGTTGTGCTTATATAGAGTGCTATTTCTTATAAATTAAATTGTAACTTAACCAAAACATAAATGTGATTACATATGATGTGATTATATAAGAGATGACTATATAGAGGGATGATTGTATATAATTAAAAATTATTATATTAATATAAAAAATTAAAACAAATTATATAATTATCAAGTATAAAGTACTTTAACTATATAAGTTTATAAGAGTAAAAAATCTATAAACTAATTATAATAAATCATTAAATTATTTTTTAAATTTTTTATTTTTTATTTTTTTTAACTTAAGCAATCATGCTAGTACTTTATTAGAATTCTTAAAACTATACAAATTACAGAAAATTTTTCTAATACTTAAGTCTAGCATCATCTGGCCACCTTATTGGTACCTAAGTGCAACTTGTCACACTATCTCAAATAGAGGTAGACTGCTCATTTAACTGCTCTACAATAGAATACTACCAATTTAATAACATTTTTATATAGAAAAGCAAAAAAACAAAAAAAGATTTTATATATAAAAAAAAAACAAAGGTATAGGAGTAAATAATAAAAGATACAAAACAAGAAATAAAAAGGAAAAAAAAGATAAACAAGAAAAGTGTAAAACTTGCAATTTATAAAAAATTAGATAATTATAATTTTAAGCTTATGTCAAATATGAAACTTACAATTTACAGATATTAGATAGCCATAATTATAAGCCTGTATTAGCCTTATAAAAATTATAAACTATACTAAATAGAAATTAGTCTATTATCTTTTTATTTACTTAGATTATTTAAAACAAAAAACCAAAAAGAAAAAAAAACATTAACTTTATTATAGAGAATTAGTATAGGATACTGGTTAGTTTGGATGCAGTGTTTGACAGATTTCTAGTAGCTTGAGACATATGTATAGTCATGTTTGTATTGCTGTATTATTTTTAATCTACATTGTTAACAATTCTATTTAGAAAATAAATACTGCTAACTGTTTTAGTAATTTTATATATCAATCTTTAAGAGGAGGTAAACTGAATCATCCACTTTTACAAAATTTTTTTTGAAAAAAAGTAGAAGTGTTAGGTGAACCAACTTTTAGTTTTTGTAAGTTTTGAACTCTTGTAGGTGTTTCTTGTAGGTTTTATAGTTGTATAAAACTAATATATCCAACTTTGTTGTTTATTTAATGAAAAATCTTGGTTTTTACTGACTACTTCTTTTATAGTTACAGAGTTCTCTTTAATTGATAATCTACTAGTCAATCAGAGTATAATCATAGTGTAATGTGATGCAAATTACTTATAGAAATTAGAGGTTTGTAAATATGATGTAAATATATCATAAAACTTTTTTTATACTAAATTAATCACTTTTCTCACTTAAATGAAAGTTATAAAGCTTGTTAAGATGCATCTAATAGTGGTTAGATCATCCAAACTGGCCTAGTGGTTGCTAAGATATTATTAAAAAATATTATACTAACTATATAAAATTCTATATAAACAATAGTATTATTTATATAGAATTTTATATAATTAGCATGACATTTTTTAATGATATATCAGCAAGCACTAGGCCGATTTGGATGATCTAACTACTATTAAAT